ACTCCTCCGCCATCTTGCTCCGCCCCCTCAAGGGCATTATTTTTAAGGATGGTTCTTTAATGGGACCCCGGCTTCTTTGAACCCTTCTGGTGCCTCTGTCTTATAGTTACCGATTTTTGTGATCATAAAAGTAATACATGGTTATCGTAACACTGTGGGAACATTATAGAAACGTTGAGGGTATGAGCCCCCATGCTCCCGAGAGAACCTCGGCCAATGCTTGGCATGGATTCTTCCTTCTCAGTTGCTCCTTGCCATTTTGTCTCCTATTTGTTCTTCCCCAAAGAGAAGAGCCACTGACCCAGCCCTCCTGGCCAATACCAGCCTCTTGTTCGGCACCTCCTGGGGGATAGGGTTTGCTTTCCCTTTAGAAACTAGGTCTTCCCCTGGGATCCTGTCCGTGTGCAGGAACACCACCCCTGTCCTGCTTCTCCCCTGCTGCCCACTGCCTCCCCCTGCTGAGAAAGGGATGGGTTTCTTTTGGGATGTTTGGGGTCTTAGGGACGTGGGAGCCATGGAAAGCTGGGCCGGACGGGATGGGGTAGGTGGCTGGCCAGCTGGGAGAGGTATGCACTGGTAGAAAGAGGGACGTGTAACAGAACCCACTTGGTCCTCGGCCCTCCATTCTCACTGGGGTCCTCCAGCCAGCTCATGATACAGATGCAGTGCTGATGTAGGGGAAGAGGTGGGGTGCCTCTTAAGGAGCAGGGGGAGGTAACCGCCCTGAGACCGAGGGGATGTAGGCTTGCCATGGCCCTGGCTTTCCTTACTTCTGGCCCCTCAGGCTCCAACCCTGCGTAGCTCCTGCCAGGTGCATCTTCCTGGAGCACAACCCCCAACCTGCCCCATGCCCCCATGGCTTGTCTGATCACAGAAGTTTCCATCTGGCTTTCAAGGGCCCTCCAGTGATCAAGGGCCCTCCTGCCTGTTCGTGCACGTCTCCACTGTTTCATGTCTTCCATGTTCTAGCCAGGCCGTGGCCGGATGGCGCACCTGGCTCAGCACTGGAGATGCTGTGTGTGTCCAGCATCTGGAACGATGCTGTCCCTCCCCCCAGCTCCAGTGTACGTCCTCCCTGACACATGGATCCGCTTTTTCCTGCCTCGAAACCCCTTGTCCTTCCCTGGAGATACTCAGCCTATTCTAGTTCTGTGTGCTTCATGTGGGGGTGTCTAGGAAGAGCAGGGTCTGCAGTGAGACCTCACTTCACTCCCAGCTGTACTGCAGCTTAGCTGTGTGCACGTAGGTCAATCATCCACCACTCTGATACTCCATCTTCTCATCTGTAAAGTGGGGGCTAATAGCATATCATGACTTAGGTCAGTTTTTAGGAGGAGTCAAAAGATGATTGCATGTCAAGGCTTAGTGTAGTTTCTGGAATGTGCGGAGTGCTCAGGCAGCAGCGGTTTTCCAGTAAGTTGAGGCCAGGCTTCGTCTTCGGGGTCTGCCTCCACGGGACCATCTGTGGAGCCTCGCCCATCCCTTGATGGTGCCAGAGGCTGCTGGAATCGCATATGACTTGAACAGAATGCAGGTCACAGCCCCTTGATCTGGTGGGAGGGGCACTGTGGTCCCGGTCAGGATGATTTGGAGGATGTCCCACGGCCCTCGCTTTGACAGCTGAGGTCCCCTAAGCTGGACTTAGGCTTGAGGGGCTAAGTCATCTGCTGTCACTGGGGAGGCCCCTACTTCCTGCTGAACAGAGCCAGAGCGTGTCTTCTAGAAGTTGGTCCAGCCAGTGTCCAGGCCTTTAGAGGAGACTGGTTGAAAGGAAAGGTAGGGCGAATGCAGTGAAGCTCAGGCGGCAGCTGGGAAAGAGGGGAGACGCCCTAGACCCTGCACGCCCTGGGAAGCCCTCTGGGGCCCCCCGCTCTGTCCCCACGTGTCCACGCTTCAGGTTCCCTGCCTTTCAGCACGTCTGTACCTCAAGCTGTTCCTGGGCATGGAGCCACCACGTCCCTGTTGCCCCAAACACAGGAGCAGGTTTTGGCCCCCCTGCCCAGTGACAGTCTTTGCTGGTCTTTCTCTTGCAGCCAGACGCCACTCCAGGGTCCGGCCCAAGGTCGCGGTCCTGAGCTACGCCTGCCCGACCCCCGCCCTCAGCCGGCCCCTGAATGAGACGGCCCTGACCCCCCTGGCGGAGCAGGAGGGGGAAGCCTACCTGGAGAAGTGCGGCGGCGTCCGGCGGCACACGGTGGCCAATGCCCACTCGGACATCCAGCTGCTGGCGATGGCCACCATGATGCACTCGGGCCTGGGTGAGGAGCCTGGCGGGGAGGACAAGGGCCTGCTCCTGCCGCCCAGCTTCTCGCCACCGCACCGGCAGTGCTCCAGTGAGCCCAACATCACCGACAGCCCCGATGCCCTGCAGCAGGGGGCCGCGGGCAGCCAGGGGGACTCCGAGCTGAACTGTGCTTCCCTTGGCTGAATGCCCACCCCTGGGACCTCCCAGCCCCGGCCTGACCACCAGCGTGAGCACGGCTCCATCCCCCGGGCAGGGGCAGGTGGGGCAGAGCTCCCCAAGGGGCTCCTCCTGGAGGCCTAGTCCAAGTGCCCCGGTTGTGAACCTCTCTGTTTTCGTGACTGTGACCCCCCTCTTGGCAGCCACGCAGACCCGACTGCCTGATGCTCACTTTCTGCTTGCCTGACTCCGGATCCTCCTCTGGGGGCTCTGCCCTCAGATCAGTGCTGTCTGACTCTCCCTACGATATCGCCCAGGGCCGCTGGCCTGAGGATAGCAGGAGGTCGGCTGAGCCACACATGGAGCCCGCAAGGATGCGTTGGCCTCCGGAGAGCCCCTGTAGGTTCTTGTGATGCGAGGCTGCCAGGAGAAAAGAGAGGTGGTAGAGCGGTACCTCTCCTCCCCTGCTCTGGGTGGAGTGAAAGCAGGCAGCGACCCCTGCCAAGCAGGACACTGGGAGCGCGCCTTCCTTATTTTACTTTCAGAATTCCTGGAAAAGAGTTGTCCCTCTGGCGGGTGAGGGTCATTCTCATCGGTATCCAGATCCTCCATGCCGCCTTTAACTTTTGGCCCCGGGGGACCACCCGGCTGGAGAAACGTCCTCTTTGATGAAGCTCAGTGCTCCCCTCTCTGGCCTCCTTCCAAGCTCAAGGAACTAACCTCCCTGGTGGAGTAGCTGGTGCCTTTCAGAAATTGACCATTTTCCTGTTGTGGGTGCGGGGCCAGTGGATGCCAACCAAGTAGTCTGTTCCTGGATTTGACTTGAATTTTTTTAATGTGCATCGTTTCAAAAAAACAATTGTTTGCAAATATTTGCACGTAGGATCTTGCATTGCTCATTTCCAAGGGCGTGTGTCTTCAAACTAGAAAATAAACAGCCCCCCCCCCCCACTTAGGAAAAGAGCCTGGAAGTGGTTCAGGGTGCAGGTGATCCGTGGTGGGCAGGGCTCATCAGCCGCAGAGTGCTGGAAGCAGCTGGACTTGAATCCAGAATGAGCGTCACGGTCTGTATCACTGAGGTAGGGAGGCTCCGTTTGCCTCAAGAGCAGAGGGTCGTAGCAAATGCAATGTCTCAGTGCTTTACAGTAGGGGAAAATGGGGGGAGATGTGGGCAGGACCTTTTGGAGAGAGGTTCATTCCCTGTGATTAAAGAAGTGCCTGGAATTTCTAACATCTGAGCTCTCAAAATGCTGTTTGGGGCAGCAGGCTTTGGTACTGTGGTGAATCCTTAACACTGCTCCCTCCGGGTCTGGGCTTTTTATCCACCTAGAAGCCCTCTTCTCTTTGTATTTGCCTGGTGGCCCCACCAATAACAGCTCCAGAAAAAAGAGAAGGCTTTCCTGAGTCCTTCTGGTACCTTCTAGATGTCCTGTTAGTCCTTGGAAACTGTTAACGAGACATGAGCCAGCTTGGCTTCCAATCTGGCGGGAGGTGGCTGGGCGAGGGCGAGAACAGTGTGAGCCGCCAGCAGGGAAGGCGGCCTTCTAAGCATATCTAAGCCTTGACGGCACATCCCTTCTGGGTGAAGACCTGGAATATGACCAGAGTCATGCTTTGGATGGCTTGTACTTTTGGGAAGTTAGTTTAAAACGCTGTCTCATTTTTATTCTTCTAAGAATGTGGAAGAGAAATGTCCAAAGGAGACCTTCTGGGAATTTCAAACAAAAAAAATCTCTGTGTATGTGTTGGATGAAGTCCACAAATTGACTAACGTGCATTAGCGATAGAACATCAGTAAGTAACAACATGATGATTTATTTGACTGATGGTGTCTGTCCTTACTGGTACACTTAGCGCTCGGGACTAGTATTTATCGATCCAGGCGAAGTCATTAATCATGCTTGGGTATGCTTTTTTAGTTTCCGGCGTTAATGATATATACGCTTGTAAATGCCTTGTCCTTATACTAAACGCCCCTGATGAGGCCAGCAACCGTTGGTTAAACATGTGAGCTCTTAGGCTGAGAACGGGAGTGTCAGTAGAGACCCAGTATACTTAATTGCTGATGACTGTTAGCCAGTTTACAACTTCACCTTTGATGTCCATGCCTGATCCTGCGCCGTGGGTATTTCAGACTGTACAGAGACAATTTTGTTGATGTTTATGGGCATTTTAGCCTTCAGACCTGTCGCGAGAGCGACGGCGGTGGTGCTGGCAAGCACTTTTTCTCCCCTTGCGAGACGAAGCTAGGATCTTCTGGTTGCCTTTTAATGACAGGAAGCTATCACGACTCCAAGCTCTGGGTGTGCTCACGAACCAAAAACCTTTCATGTCTGTTTCCAAAACAGATTCAATAAACGTCATTTTGTACACATCATCCCGTCCCCGTGCTGTGTGGCTTGACTGGACCTGCGAGCGCTGCAGTCCCCGGGCTCTTCATGCATCCTGCCCTCACGCTCTCTGCCGGCCTCTCCTGCCTCCACGTCCCTTTTCCTGTTGCCTCCACTCCAGGATTCGGCAGCAGCCTTACCTCGGCCGGTGTCCCCCGGGTTTTGTTTGCCATCCTCAGCTGGACTGGCAGGTCATTTCCGGGACAAGCAGCCTGTCTGCAGAGCTTGAAAAACACCGAACAAAGTCTGGGAAGGCCAGTTCTCTTCTAAAGCCAGCTTGGGCTCTTCCCGAGCATTTGACACTTACCGTGACTCCTCATGGACTCTCTCTTCATATACTCCCCTCCGATTCGGTTTGGCAGACAGGAACTTTAATCGGTAATCTGCTACTCTCTGCATAGGCTTTCCTAGGACCGCTGGAGCAGAGTTGACCTGAGATTGAAGGCTTATTAGTAAGAGCATTCAACGCGGTGTGACCCAAGCTGATTGAGGATCCTGGGGGATGCAAAGCGGGGCATGTCCCTTCGTGTTGAGCCTTCAGAGGCCGTAAGGCGAGAGAGAGCTGTGCTTCGGTGGATTTCACCTCACTGATGCACTGTCACGTCGACTCCTGCATCTGCTCAGCTACCCACCGAGTATGTGTGGAGCTGCCATCGTGTTGCAGGCCCTTCTCTTGGTGCTGGGGATGCAGCAACGGACAGCCAGGCAAGGGGCCTGCCTGCTCTCCTGGAGACCATCCAGCGGGGGAAGGCTGGTGATCAGGTCAACAGGCGCATTTCAAATAACGACCAACACTGGGGGACATCAAATGACAAAATGCAGTGGCTGGGGGAGAGGAAAGGGCGGCCCTGGGTCCGGTGGCTAGAGAAGTTCTCTCTGCAGTTGACTCGAGCCAGCCTTACGATCGGCTTCTGTTGCCTGTCCCTGCCATCACAAGTGACCACAGATGGTAATGGCATTGAGTGGTTTAAAACCACACACATTCATTATCACAATTCTGTAGGCTGCAGTCTGACGTGGGTCTCATGGGGCTAAGATCAAGGTGTCGGCAGGACTGTGCCCCTGGCCGGAGGCTTGGGGAGAATGCATTCCCTCCCCTTTGCCAGCTTCTGGAGGTCACCTGTATGCTGGGCTTCTGGGCCACCTCCTCCAGCGTCAAAGCCAGCAACGGTGGGGGGAGCCCCTCAAATCCAGTGCATCGCAGCAGCCATACATTCTGTCTCTCCGCCCCCCCACACCCCATGTTTAAGGCCCTGTGATTCCCATCAGGCCCACCCAGACAACACAGCATGATCTCCATCTGGACTGCCAGCATCTCTCCCGGGAGGAGAAAAGCCACCATAGGGGGTGTCAGGGCCCTGTGGAGATGAGACTGCAGTGGGCAGGCGGGTGCTGGTCTCAGTGTCCAGGGGCCTTCAAGCCAGACCTCCACCCACCCTGGCCCGGACTCCCACACTCACTAGGATTCTGGAGTCTCTTGTTCAGATCTTTCTCTGATTTCTAATCTCATAATGCTTGTCAGGCCCTCATCCTCCCATCTGGACTTCTGCCACTGGGTACTCCCTGTGTTTGCCTCCAGATTCCATCTCTCCCCATGGACGGCCCCAGCGGATCTTTCTAAAACATAGTTAAAACTTCTCCCAGGCTTCCAAAAACATCCACACACCTGAATGTGACTTCAAAGTCCTTTCCAAGCTGGCCCCCAGCTGCCTTTCTGGCCTCTGCTGCTCTGTGACTCCCTGTGAACAGGTGTCAGGCTCACTGGATGGTTTGGTGTCCTGAAGCTGCCCCCTCTCCCTGCGGGCCCTGCCCACTGCTTCTCCAGGCAGGAGACGTTTCTGCCTCCACACGTGTGCAGGTGCTATCCCAGGAAGGCAACAGTATGTGGGATTTGTGTTTGCCTGCCTAGGGCTTAGCCATGCAGAGAAAGTTCTCTAAGTCAGGTGCATTGGATGAATTAATGGGATGGCGGTAATTCTGACTGCCACTCCTTCCTTCCCACCTATTTGTATAAAAGACCTTCACCCCCTTTCCTTTCTCCGCAGGCAGAGACCTTCCCCATGCTGCTCTCTAACCGTGTTCCAGCTGAGGCTACGTGGCCCAGTGACCTGGGAACACGGATGGGGGCCAGGTCTCAGCTGTTCCCTGCAGCCCCCCACTTCCTGCTCCAGCCCGAGGCTACCAGTCCCTGTGCAGCGCTAACCTGTGCACAGGGCTGGTGCTTTGCTCCCGAGCCGGCTGCTTCCTTCCTGGCCTGATTCCTTCAGGGCCCGGAACATGTGCCTGTTGTTGGCACGAGGCCAGGTCTTTGCAGAAGTTCTCCTGCCAAGAAGTAAGCGGGAGTATTCCTGGCCAGTGTGCTCAGGCAAGAACCTCCTGGTCCTAACCCAGGAAAGATCCAGCAAAAGGGAGCTTCACACTCTGCCCTGGTGTGCCAAGCACTACACGGACCCTCACAACAACTGTGCAAGGCAGGTATCGCCCCCATTTTGCAGATGGGGAAACTGAGGCTTGGGTTCTTTTACCCCATGTCCAGTGACCATCCTTCCTCTCTTCCATGAGGTGTCCTGGCTTGGTAGAGGATGAGGAAGCAGAACAACTAAGCCAGGGGCATATCCTCCTCAGCTTGCTACATGGTGAGATGGGTTTCAGGGTTTCCAGAGTGGAGAAGCAAAGCTGCCTCTCTTGCTCTTCTCTGGCCACTTCTAAAAAAACCTCATGAGGGGAGGGAGTGAGGGTGGGGAGAGTCTGCTGTCCTGAATGGCTGATTTCCTATGCAGAAAAGATTTCAGTGGGTCTTTTTCTTGAAAAATTAGTAAGTTTAAATTTGGATTTAAAAATAGTATTTTAATAAGTTTAATAATTAGTATTCATTTAATAAATAATTCAGTTAATAATGTCTTTAGAATCAATATTCAATTTAAGATAACAAATTTAAAAGCCTTTCTTAGGCTTTTAAGTTCAACTCAACAAATTTTATTATTGTATTTATAAGTCTAGCAGATTTTAGCATTAATTTTGGAGAATCCTTTAAATAACGCTTGGTCCTATTTACAAGCTTAGCTCAGCACTTCAAACACTTTTAAATACATTTATAAATTTAATATTTCTTTTTTAAGTACTTCAGTTTTTCTGACAACATATAAAATCTCCCCCTTCTAACTTCTTATAGAAACTAATAAATTAAGCTTATAAATAAGGAAAACTTTAAGTGTTTTTACACTCTACTTAAGCTTAGATGACACCATAAAAAATCACAAGTCTTAATTACTCAATTATACATTTTAAAATGGATTATAAAACTGTCACCGATCAGGGCCTTATTCTCTTAAATACCACATGTGTCTAAAATACCAACTATGCGTAGATTCCTTCCTCACATAAAAGTCTTAGTGCTCTATAGTTTCTTTTAAATCTTCCCACACTTGAGTCTAAACTTCCTGGTGTGCTGGTTGTGAAGCTGTTGTCTCTCAGCTTCAGGCCTTTTCCGCATTTTGGGATGCTGGGGCTGGAAGTCTAAAACCAGTCGTGCTGGGGCTGGAAGTCCAAAACCCCAGTTCCGCTTTGTGGGGCTCCTCCTGTAGGAGGTGCTGGAGGGCGGCTGGGAGGCTGGGGTGGGGAGCGGTGAGGAGAGACCGCTCTTCTCTGTTGCCTGCCTTTGTCAACATCCTGGGGCAGGACAGGTGGGCCCAGTGGCAGCACCTGGGATCAGTTTGCAGCTTTTCCTCCCACAGGCAGCCTCAGGACATCTCCCCTCAGAGCCAGCAGCACCAGCCGGCTTGGGCCCTCCTCTAGCCCTTTCGAAGTCAACCATCCCCAACTGGGGCTTTTGTTTCTCTCCTTCTAAGGGTGGTACCTGCTTCCTGCACTTTCCACTTCTGAGATTCCTCCGTGTCTCCTCTTTGCCAGCTGACTTGTCCAATGCCTGATTAACAGTTCTGTATGTTAAATTCTCTGTTCCATTGGTAGGTGCGGCTTTTGCCCCCTGACTAGAGCCTGGCTGATAAACCACTCACTAAAGAAGGCACTGACCCTCTCTGTTTACCCACGTTACTAACGACCAGAAATTTCCTTTGGGTATGCGACCCAGAGCCGTCGACATGCACGGCAATTCTTCTCACCTTGACGTAAGGACACCAAAACATCTTTTCAAGTAATTTTGGCGACTGTTTCTCACATTCCTGAGTTTACTGGTGAAGCATATTTGACCCTTGTCAGAATCCCCAGACACACTGGATGCTGTTTATGATTGCTTACTCATTAACTTCATAACCTAAGAGATGTGACCTTGTAGGCACTTGTCTTATCCAATTGCCTCGTTCTTCAGCCTCCCTTCAGAAGTATGCCCCTCTCACGAAGTCACATTAAATTGGTTCTTAATTTCCATGGTCTTTTGGCCTAGGTCTGGGCCTCTGAGAAGAATCCAAAGCACTATAAATAGAGGCTTCTAAATTCTTGCACGTTCTTGGGGCCACATAACTTTTAACAAATGCCTAAACTTCAGTCTGATATCAATTAAATATCTCAGCTTTGGGCGCCAACTTTTTTTTTTTTTTTAAAGATTTGATTTTTTTTGGAGAGAGAAAGAACGAGCGGGGGTTGGGGAGGAGCAGATGGAGAGGGACAAGCAGACTCCACACTAAATGCAACACGGGGCTTGATCCCACGACCCTGAGGTCATGCCCTGAGCTGAAACCAAGAGCTGGACACTTAACAGACTGAGCCACCAAAGCGCCCCTGGGGGCCAACTTAGAAGGTCATTCCTCTCCCTGTTGACTGAACTAGGATCAAGTCAGTTGCCTGCCAACAGAAACTTTTGATGCCCACTCTAAGGGAATTTTGAGAGGGGCTCACTAAATGGAAGTAGTGTAACACTTCTGCTTCTAGCCAGAGGGGCATGGCTTGTATCAGATTAATCTTCCTGCCAAGATAATGATAAAAGCTGGACACAATATATAGGGCAACTGTTTGAAGGGGCTGGAGAGCACTCTGCACAAGTCTGAATGGCTGTGATCCCTAAGAGAGGCGAAATGTACAGTCATCTCGGTTTTTCCCAAAGGCATTTCTCCAAATCATGGGTGGGGTGGGGGTGGGAGGAGTGGATGAGAGCAGAAAGCTGCCGTCTTACTGGGCTGAGATCAGAGGTGAAGGCTGCTGGAGTAGCTGGAACTCGAAGGGAGGATGATGGAGAGGACTGGATGAGAAATCTGCATACGTGTTTCCCTCCAGTTGTTGGCTGACTCCTAAGCTGAGCACAGCAGAGAAGAGCAGCTGGGGAGCCAAAGAGCTAAATAGATTTCAGCTGCTGCATCATACCAAGGAGCCCGAGGTTTGAGTCCTGCAGAGGTGGGGAGAAGCTTTGGCAAACCTCCTGGGCTTTTGGTTGAGACCCCAGAAAGGCCAACCCAGTGGCAAGATGGTAGACAAGCACAACGATAGCAGTCATTATGTTAAATGTAAATGGGCTAAACACTCCAACAAAAAGACCAAGACGGTCACATCAGGTGAAGAAATAACAATATGCTGTTTATAAGAGATACAACTTTAAATATTGGGACACAGATTGAAAATTAAAAGTATAAACATATACTGTGTAAACACTAGCAAAAGAAATTTGGTGCTCCTAATTTAGAGTCATATTTCATAATGATAAAAGGTCTATTCAAAAGGAAGATAGAAATTATAACACTTAAATTTATCACTTATTGGTCATCAACTATATGTCAAGCACCACCCTAAGGATTTCATTCATTGTGTTGTGTAATCATCTGAGCGCTTTTTTGAAGTCAATTGTATCATCCCGCTTAGACGAGGAAATTGAAGCTCAGAGAGACTGAACAATTTGCCTGAGGTCACACAACTAAGAAAATGATAGAGAAGATTCAAACCTAGTTCTGTCTGACCTCTTGCCAATGAGCTTTAATCACAGCTTTGCTGCCTGTGGTGTGCTTTCTTAAACCAGTGGAGAGGGCCCCCGAGGGCACAAGAGGACATTTTAGCCCAAAGGGAGGACAATCTGTGGGTACTGGGACTCTGGGACTCTGGACTGGAAACCCTTCAAGAGCTAAGACCCTAAATTGTCTGTCTGTCTCTCACACACTCACACTTCTGTGTAAATGCTCTGCTCTATACACCTGATCCCCAAGAGGTACAGAGACCTTCCTATTAATGGACTCTACTGCAGCCCGATTCTTTGAATTTTTCGGTCTAAATTCTCAAGAATATGGTCAAGTTCAGGAATCATGAAACCACTCCTGATTCAATCAGCCGGCTTGCTGCTAAGGAGTCCCATCTTAGCTGGTTTTAGATTTAGCTCTGCTAAGTCCTTCCATTGGAACTGAAGGGGAGGGCTCAGCAGTTCTCAGGAGAGACTCACCCACTCCAGACTGAATCCATGCATATGTGGGTGGGTGGGAACCAGAGCAGAAAACCCCCAGAGAATCCTTCCCAAGCCACCGCTAGCTCTGGTCTTCACCTAAAACACAAGCTGTCTGGAGGCGAAGGACAGGCAGCAGGCTCATGCAGAAGAGGTGGGGAAGCCCCAGGAGAGAGCGGGGAACAGATGGGCTCTTCGTCAGGGTGGCAGGGGAAGCTGGAGGAAACCATGAAATGAAGTGTTCTCTGAAGTGCGCAGTCTGGGTGGGAGCCCTCTCTGCCCATGAGTTACCAGGGGACACTTTCTCTCAGGGACAGTGGTCATCAACTGCCACTCCTCTTACTACCTGGGCAGGCACCACTGGAAAAGCCTACAGACTGAAGTTTGGGGCATAATGTGCTGTGCTCATGGACAGCCAAGAGGACATAGGGGCCCTGTGTGTCTTCTTAGCTTCTGGAACTCCAAGGATAATTCTGTAGCAAGTAACTACACTAACCACATTTAATACTTACTCAGGGTCTGCTATAGCCAGGTGCTAGTGTAGTCTTTGCTCTCTATTATCTCATTTAACCCTTATAACAACCCAGTGAGGTAGAGTCCATTATTATTCACATTTTACACATAAAGAAGCTGAAGCACAGAGAGGGTAAATAACTTGCCCCGAGGCCACAGAGCTAAGTGGCAGCACCAGAATGTGAACTCGGGTAGTCCAGCTCGAGAGGCCTTGCCTGTGGAAAATGTAATCTAAATTACCAAGCAGAATTACAGTCACTGGGAAAAGCAGGAGCTTGCTGGGCGGCCCCTTGGAGCCCCTGGTTTCCCATAATAGTTCTCCTTGAGGGAAATGCCCTCTGTGAGGCTCCCCGCCAGTGAGGCTAGGTCCCCAAAACCTGCCGCCTGAGAGCCAGTGAGCGCATGGTAGGGGGCCAACTCCACTGAGAACCCAGAGGCCGCTAGCGATTAAACCTTTCTCCTCTGTCACCCCTGTCACTGTGGACAGTCAGACCTTTGTCCATGCCCAGCAAAACTAGCTGGGTGACCTTTCACAAGTTATTTAACCTCTCTTTTCTTCTGTGAAATGCAGCTAATTTTGCCTGCCTTGCAGGATTAGAGAGAAAAACACACACACACATATATACACACATACTTACACACACACATATATAAGCATACATATGGCATAGAAAAGGTTTAAGCTGTCTCTGGGTTAGGTAGAATCCTGACTGTTCTTGGTAGCATTATGTGTAATAACTAAAAACTAGAAACAACCTAAACATCTATCTGTTGACGGATGGGGTAGACAAAACGAGGTATATCCACACAGTGAAGTTCTACCTGGCAATAAAAAAGGAACATTATGGACACATGCTACATCACGGACAGACTTCAGAAATGTTATGCTAAATGAAAGAAGCCACCACAATTTGTGTGATTCCATATATACATACAAAATGTCCAGAAAAAGCAAATTCAGAGAGAGAGAAGGTAGATGAGTGGTTGCTTCAGGGGTGGGGTAGGAATGGGGATTGACTGTAGATGGATATCGGGGATCTTACAGCAGGGATGAGAATTACCTAAAACTGATTAATGATGACGTTCCATCACTTTGTAAAGTTACTAAGAGGAACTTAACCTGTACATCTGAAATTGCATTTTTTTTTCTTGTGGCAAAATAGACATAAAATTTGCCATTCTAATCATTTTTAGGTGTACAGTTCGGTGGCATTAAGTACATTCCCACTGTTGTGCAAACCACTGCTACCCTTCATCCCCGGAATGTTTTCATCTTCCCAAACTGAAACTCTGTCCCTGGCAAGCAGAGACTCCCCTCCCCCACTCCCCACAGCCCCTGCAGCAACCATTTTACTTTCGCCCTCTTCGAATGGGATTATTCTAGGTACCTCGGGTGAGTGGAATCATACAATATTTGTCCTTTTGTAACTGAATCATTTTGCTTAGAATGATGTCTTCAGGGTTCATCTATGTTGTAGCATGTGTCAAAATTTCCTTCCTTTTTAAGGCTGAATAATATTCCTCTGTATATAGACCACATTTTGTTTATCCAGTCATCCAGCGAAGAACATTTGTGTTTTTTCCACCTTTTGCCTAGTGTGAATAAGACTGCTATGAATATCAGTGTATAAATATCTTGAAATGGGTGGATGTTATGATATGTGGAACATGTCTCAATGAAGTTATTTTAAAATAAAACTTCAATTATTTTTTCAAAACTTAGCCAATACATGGTAGATGCTGTTATCATCAATAACTCATAGAATGGCAAATTTGATCAGTAAAGTGAGTTTTAAGAGAATAATAAAAAAAGGAAAAATACAAAAAAAGTACAAAGAAGAGAGATCTGTCATCTCACAGAAAACCACTGAAAGATTACTTCACAAAAATGACTAAATTTTAATTTTACCTGTAGTAGAAGGAATTGAAATGAAGACACTGCTGAACTTCAGATGTTTATTCCCAACATTGATATACTCATTCCTAAGCTATCCCTCTAAAGGCAAAAGAAGTTATGAAAAAATATGGAGGTTGAGTTGGGACACACCCAGTATTTCTAATTTCAGTTCATGTTTCATGAAGCTCAAAGTTTAATCCCTGAGGTGCACAATTGTTTCATAAAAATTAGAGGATATTTCTTATGTTTAAACAAATAAAGTGCCTGAATTTTTAGATTAAACAAAAGAACAAAGCTGAAAACCTTAGCAGGCTATTCAGTTAAACTTCTAAGAGAAATTATTAGGGGATGACGAGTTTGTAAGTCAGATAACTAGAGGACAAAACACTTACTTGCAAAAGCAAGAGGAAGTGATTATGGCTAGTGTCTGAAATAAATCCGGGGAGGTTATACGTGACTTCTGACAGTTTTCTCCTCCCTCTGGATCAAGTAGTTCTTGTGTTTGAATATATCTGCTCTAGCCTGAATTGTCTCACACAGAGGAGCAGGGTCCACACACTTAATGTTCTGCTATCTTCACTCACTGTAGGAAAGAATTATTTAAAACTTGGAAATAAGGCAAAAAGTTGGGCTATATATCCTTTCAAAGTCATACTGGGGAATTATTTAAATGTCGTCACCCAGGATTGTTTAATTTTCTAGCTGAATGCATCTGTTTGACTTTGCTATTTATTGTTTGATGATAGCCAGATACTGCAAAGTTATGTGTTAATTTGTATTTTTCTATCTGGTAGGAAAGATAACCCCAAAGGTTATGGTTGTATTAGCCTGGAGGATATTAACTAGCTTCTTATTTAACCCAGCAATCTTATTCTAAGATTCTTTTTTTGTTTGTTTTGAAATGCTTTTCCTGTTGGCTTCTATAAATTATTTTTCCTCAAATGCTCTTGGAATCAGCTTTACCACCTAATGGTTCTGTCATAAATTTATGAGCTGAACAAAACCTTTGACGCATGTCTGTTCTATATTTGAATGAGAGCCATGACTTTACCATTTTAACAGTTAAACTTTGATATATCTGATAGCCCTCAGCTCACAGTCTCGCCTATCTCCTGGGATTACCTACTCTCTGCTTTTGCTGAAGAGTTACCTGGGAGCCTATTTAGAATGCAGATTCCCCGGCCCACTGCTCAGCCATCTAATTCTGAAAGTCTAGCATGGGGCCTAATGATATGCATTTTCACAAGCATCCCAGGAGACTCTGAGGCTAGTGGTCCTCAGATCAGACCCCTCGAGAAAGCCCCCCAGTGAAGTGGGTGGGGTGATGGTCCTAAATGCCATCTTGGTTTTCACTGTTCAGAGTGGCCAGAATAGGCTGGATTACACATCTAGGCCTTGGGGTGGACTGGAGTCCAACAGTCCATTTTCTTAAACTTCAACCTGAGGATGGTAGTTGATCTCAGATGTTCATCTACCCATTGGCTCTATCAGAGTGGGGGCGACCAGGAATCTATATATGGAAGTTGAAATGGCAGTTTCGTGTGGTTCAACCTAATAATTCCTCAGGTGTTTCTAATTTGAAGCTAATTTGGCAACCAAGTTGTGAATATGACAATTAGGACATGGAATTTCCAATACTTGGGAAAAGTGCTTTGTAGTTTCATCAGACTTAAAGGCAAAAAAAAGAAAAGAGAAAGAAAAGTAAAAAAAAAAAAAAAAAGACTCCTCCCAGAAAAATGTACAAAGTAAAACTTTTTGCATACAATCTCAGGGGGGATTTATGGACTCAGTCCATGGACTCCAGATCAATCCTACTTTACAAATTTCTTTTTTAACGTGTGCACTCTTTAGGGATGGAGCTTTGCTGCCCCCTACTGCCACATGGTTCTTAAGCTGAGTTTGCTCTACTGACTTGTCTTCTTCCAGTTTGGAGTTTTTTAAGAGCTAGAACAAGCTGTCACCCTACACCAGCTGTCAGAGTAGTCCAATTCTAGGCAGGAATGGGTATTTTGCGCTTTGATGGAACACTACATTATCTTTTCTGGAGCACAGCCTTCAGGGTTATCAGATTCTGACCCTAAGGAAGCTATTTTTCAGCTCTGTCCTGTCGATAACTTCGAGAAATGCAAAATAATTCTTGTTTTTAGAAATGCAAATCGTATCCTGTGGGGAGAGGTTCACCTGACATCCCTCCCCTACAGAGGAAGAAGCTATTTTTGCTTCCATTTGGACATTCATTTAAATATTCCTGGCCTGTGTCTGTTCTTTGGATTCTCCTTTGGGTTAAAACATCCACCTGGTTCCCTCACTAAGAATTAAATAAAATCTTTAATTTGTGTTCATCTGATACCTGTATGACAGTCATAGTTTGACTCTCTTTTGAGAAGACCAGAATCATATTAGATATCTCAGATTCCCGACTGAGATATAGAAAGGTTGGCCCTTTCCTTGAAAGCTCATAGTCTGATGAAGGAGACACTCAGTGTTGCCAATAACTGAGATATCAGGAAGAAATCTGCCTCTCCACTTTCCACCCTCCCTCCTGTCCCTCTGCATTCAAACAGGTAGCACCCTTTGGGGGGGGGGAGAGAATGTAAATTTGGCCTCCAGCCTTCTGGGCTATTTTCAATCCTCAGATCTTGACTCAAGAGACAAGCTGTATTCTGATGAACTCATATGGGTTCTGGGGCTACATTTAAAAAAGAACAAAATACCAGAATGCATCAAGATGTAGTAAAAGCAAGTTTTTCAAACACCTTTTGTTGCAGCTGAGTCAGTGTACATATTATTTATTCATTTATCTCTATCATCTTTCTATATTTATCTATATCTATATAATTTACTGTGGGTCACAAACAAAAACAACAACAAAAACCACCGCAATAAAAAAAAAAAATCTTTGCAAAACACTGACTCTACAGGCATAGTCAAATTCAGGTCTATTAGCCTAGCTGTCTTCAGAAAACCTGCTTGCTTTCTTCTTTCACAATGGCTCCAGGAGAATATCAGATTAGGTTTGAAATAAATTTCACTTTCAGGCTCCTAACTATTCTAAAGGAAATGACAGGTTAGCTTTAGTTTTCTTAAGCACTTCTGGTGGGGCTTTGTCTGCTTTATGTAGACACTTCAAGTTAAAGGACTGGCCAATCAGAAAGGATGAATACCCACCATTTGCATTGACATGGATGGAACTGGAGGGGATTATGCTAAGTGTAATAAGTCAAACAGAGAAAGACAATTATCATATGGTTTCACTCATATGTGGAACATAAGGAATAGCTTGGAAGACCATAGGGGAAGGGAGGGAAAACTGAAGGGGGGAAATCATAGAGGGAGACAAACCATGAAAGACTCTTGATTCTGGGAAACTGAGGGTTGCAGAAGGAGGGGGGGCAGTGGGGGCGATGGGGTAACCAGGTGATGGGTATTAAGGAGGGCACGTGATGTGATGAGCATTGGGTGTTATACGAAACTGATGAATCACTGAACATTACATCTGAAACTAATGATGTATTATATGTTGGCTAACAGAACATAATTAAAAAAATAAAAAATAAAGGACTGGCCAGAGGGAAACAGCTGGGATTAAGAAGCTAGACCTTCTCACACAGGGTTTGTTTTTTGTTTTTTTGTCGTCGTTTTTAAATCAACCTCTGCTGATCAGGGTGGAGTGGTCCGTGAGAAGGTCCAGGGTAATGGATTATTAAATAAGGATATTTACTTAATATCCTATATATTAAAAAAGGGTTTATATATTTATATTTATATATATTTTTTTATATATAAAAAGATTATTTTTCAGGATTTAGGAATCTAAATCTCAGTGTGGTTTTATTAGTTTTCAAAAGTGTAAATTCTGTGAAGCTCAGACTTGCTGACTCATTTTTATATTAAAATGTGCAAATCCCTACCCAGACCAAGCAAAAATTATTGCGATTATGCATCATTTCCTGACAAGATTACAATTGTCACTTCATAAAGTAATCCTGCCCCTGCTGGTAGTCCCCATACAAAAGTTAATTTTAAAATATGACAAGTGTAACAAGACATCCAGAAGAATGGACTGGTCAAGAAACTAACCCAAATTAGAGGTGGAGTTTAAAAAAATTTTTTATGGCTTATTCTGGGATTAATAACAATATTTCACTTTGGGAACTTTCCAAGAATTAAGATGGCATTTTGTAGAACACGTGCATGCTTGACAAACTTGTACATCCCACTTAGGGAAACTGAGTCTACTTTATAAGACGGGGTTGACCCACAGAAAGCTTCCTAAAAATGCTTTTTTGCCACACGATAGAAGCAGCCATCACTTAAACAAGTGTCTGGGGGGTTTGCTAACAAAGGAGCGGTTGGGATAGCCTCGGCCCTGGAGTCGAAGCTTCTCATGCATCTGTTGGGACTAAGTTCATGCCGCTTCTGGCTTCGTACTTTCTGTTTACCTGGTTTTCTCACTGGGCCTAAAATGGCTGTGCAAACGTTTCTTTCTCTTTGGGCCCAATTTTATTTTGCAAAATACAGTTTTAAGAGTCTGAGGAAGAAACCACAGCTTAAACAAAGGTCTAGAATAAATCCTCATTTGCCATTTCCTGGAAGAGCAAAATATTAACTATTTCATGTGTAAACCAGTGGCTGGGATCATTCTTCCCTCCCAATATAGTGAGTTACAGTCTCCAAAATAAAAGATAAAGCAAAAATCAAGGCAGTGTAGTTATTTTATTAAAACAAACACCCGGGATACCAGTTATATTTTAAATATATATTTCATTTTAAGTAAGAGTACTTCTTTGGTAAAGCCATCGGTGCTATATACAGGTTGAGAAGAGAATATGCACAACAGATGGGAGAGGGTAGACTGTGTCAGTCCAGCGTTTGTTTTCATGTACACTAACATTCAATAAGGTGCCATTCAAGAAACACTTTTGGTCACACTCTTTTAACCACTACTAAGACAGGATCTAATGTAAAATCTCCAAATGCCTTTGTGACTTAAATGTGAATCTATATGCATAACCTAAGGTTGGAAAGAACAGGTCACACTTATCTACTAAATGGAGTGGAGACCCTGTTGATCCCTCCGCCAGTCCTGCAATCCAGTTGTATTGACCTGATGGAGACCACAGGGGAGGGGGGGCAGGGGGGGTTGTTCTCTGTGTTGTGTGTGGTGATGGGGGCGGTTGGAGGGGGGCAGTGGAGGGTGTGTGGCAGTGAATCTGGGTAATGCCTTTAAGCCCTCCCTTTCACGCATCCTGCTCTTCCGATGAACACTGATTTTTGGCCTTTCTGTGATGAGCCACCCCCTCCCATCTTCGCATTCAATCCCTCTCACAAAACACATAATTTTGAGTCCAGATGGATTAGGAAAACTGCTCACAACTTCTGTAGCAACAGTAAATTCTGAGCAACAGCAGGCTTTTTGATGACACTTTCACCATCTGCACGTGCTTCAATTTTTCACATCCGTTTTCACCCCATAGCTTGTCATACAGTTACTGAACTTTAACAGCCTCCCTGGGTTCATAAAACATCTTGCTTAATAGATCCAAGCATTAATAAACATTACCCATTACTTAACAGTATCTAAATTTCAGATTCTATCCCACTCTTTACAGGTAGGTAAACAGACACAACGACAAAGAACTGATTTGCCCATGGTCAGTCAGGAGTAAAACCTAAGTCTCTTAGCTTCTAATTTAGTGGTATATATGCTAAATTACACTGCCTCTTCAGCCCTCTGGGAACATAATCCTGGAACCCTGTGTAAGCAGAATGGGCCCCAAATTACATTCTCACCAGAGAAATTAATTGGATAATTTATCAAGTGTGAAAATAACATTAGAATATTCTGCACAACTGATCAAGGACTTTCAAATAAATCCATTATAAAAAGCATCCCTTCAGGCAAAATAAATAAGATTAAAATTTAGCATGATATGAAAACTAGCTGAAAGTGAGGACCACAATTCCAGCTACAACTCAGATATCACAAGTTTCCCCAAAGAGTTTAAGATGACTCAACTGAAGCTAATTATCTTAGCAAAATTTTTAAAGAGAAACCAAACTTGAAGAAGTCTCATTAAAATTAACATGCACTAAGTGATAAAGCTAATGTTACAAAATGTTACTTGTAGATTCTAGGTGGTGGTGGTTCACTATACAATTCGTCCAACATCTTTGCATGTTTGAAAAATTTCATAAAGAAAGTGCTGGGGGTAAAAAACAAAAAACAAAACAACCAAACTTATCTATACCGTACCACCTAAAACTTACATGACAAACTACCAGAAATTGGTCAGTTTTAACCAGTATTTTCATTAACAGATCATACTAAATATATGAGTGTGTATCCTGTGCTGGGCACCGTGCTGAAACCGTGAACCGAACACCGTCCCTGTCCCTAAATTTTCGCACTCTCCTTCGGACTGCAGTAAAACTGTCATTACGTGCTTCTAAGACTGGCAGCATTTCTTTCGTGGAATACAGGAATCCATATGCTCTTCTTTCCATTGGCCCTTTAGCTTGTACCCTGAAATCTACCTGCAACTTAGGGATAAGTGCAGTCAGCCGGCAGAGGAACTCTGACAGGAGGCTCGCCTTTCCAGAAACCACGGCTGGGAAGCAGCATTGCGGCTGTGCTCTGGTGACCTTCCAGGTGGGCACTCAGAGCTGCAGGCCTTGAGGGAGCAGAGGAGCCAGCCTCTCCTTCCCCCTTGTCCTAAAGGCAGGGCTAGCATCCGACTGAGAAAGCACTTTGAGAGGAAAAAAAAATAGCACCACATCTTCTTATTCCACAACATGCTTGCCCCATCTAGAATGATTTTTCGGTATTTTATAACTTTATAATAACAATTTTGGGAGAGGAAAAAGCTTTAAAACATTAAAGGCTTAGGTGACATTTAGAGAAACAAGTAGGCTTCTCTTTACAGGCATGTGACTAAAAGTGAAGGCTGTACTTGACTACAATCTGTAGAGATCCATCTAATTTGATTTCATCAAATCAACTTTCTGGAGACTGGCAATTTGGGAGTGTCAACTCCATTCTATAGAATGCAATAGTATCAACTGTGAAACTTACTATAGCTTATCGTGTGAATCTGGAAAATCTAGAAAAAAGTGTATTTCAAAAGAAAAGTACAAATGACGATTGTCCATTTTTCATTTTTTTAAGGCATTGCAGTGCTTAGGCTCTGTGGAACTAGGCATCACAAAAGAGACCTAATGGAATTTTATATAAATGGTGAGCATAATTCATAATTTAATTGAGACAAGCCAAAAAAAAGAGCTGGAGTAACTGAATTAAAGTACAGTGCTTTCAAGTCTTAAGTTAGAAAAACCTCTCTCCTAATTAAAAGTGTTTTCTGGTCACCAGAGATCAGAGGGTTCCCTGGATAAAGGAATGACAAGCAACTGCTCCTCTTTAAGGAGAATGTATTCTAATTGCATGCATAATTCCTAATTCCTAATTCCTGCTTAGTTTATCTAAGACTTTACTAGTACAGAAACACTAATGGAGAACTTAATTTTATACCTGTCACAAAAACTGTCACATTTCATCCAACATCTCTATATTAGCCCATCATCAGAGGAAAAAACTCGCCTTTCATTCTATTTCCCTTGACTCGGCCCCACAGTAAAAGCTGAATCACACTGTAGTGTAGACAAAGCTTCACTGCTGCCCCGGCCAAAGGACGGTAAAAACTCCCAAACTACAAATCAACATCCTGACTGGTTTTCCCACAGCCAAATACATGACTTGAAGCCAGTTGCCTCCAACACTGGGTTGGACCTCTCTGGGAAAAGAGGAAACAATTTTGCTACATTCGAGAATGATGTCAGAAGATCAACATGTTCAAAGGTTAATAAAATAAGAATGCAGGGCACAAACACTTGAAAGCCAGTTGAGTGAAGCCAGCATGTTTGAGTCCGGCAGATTGGAAAAATGTCAGAGACCAGATTTTCCATCTCAGGCTTGATTCTGAGGTGAGGTCTTAACAAAAGTTTCTATCTGGAATGACAGCTTGACCATTACTTTTATTCTATATTCACAGTGAATGACCAGTGTAAAATAAGTGCCTGGTTTCTTACAAAATACCACATGTTTGGGGGTGAAAACAAATGCTTATTTGAATTAAGATGAGACCCAGCTGATGGGATACTACATTTGAAGTATTATAGGCAGCAAAAATTAAGGCAGAGCAATTTCCTACAGGCAAAATCTTTTAGTAAGTATTGTCAACGCTCTGCTGGTTAGGACTTAATTTCTTAAAACAGAATTTTATGGTTGGAGTGGACCTTAGAAACATCTAAAGCAACTCCTTATTCTACAGATGAGAACCTTGAAGCTAGAAGTAGAAATTAGGCAAAAAACAGGTTTTTTGCCTAATTTCAACTAACAGAGTTAGTAGGAAAAAAAAAAAAAAACTAACCAAAGCAGGAAATGACTTGGTTCAGTACCTAAAGTACAGCCATGCTTTTAATAGAAATTTGACCAGGAAGCTTTTAAATAGTATTTCCTTTTTTGGTGGGGTTGAATGTTTTGTGGCAACATTTTTTTTTTCCCTCTGATAAAAATATATGGTTTATTGTAGAAAATGTAAAACATATTAAGAAAGCACAAAGAATATAAGTCATCAAAGATAGGTCAGTACATTTCCTTCAGGCTTTTTCTATGCAACAAAAAAAGTTTACCATTTACTTGTTAAATGGAACTCAACAATTATTCACTGAAAAACAGTCACAACAGCAGTAGTGCAGGGCTCCCAACCTGGAGGGTGGTGGTGCCATGATTCTGAGGAGCTAGTTGGAAGGCATAGCCGCTAAGGGACACCAACTGCCAGGAAGTGAACTGGGAACTAGTGATGAGCAGTTGGTACCGTTGGTAACTCTGGGGAACAGGATCTCCGCATGACCCTTCTTTTTACTGTGGAACATAAACGCATCAGAGCAGGAGCGGCAGAGACGTAGGGCAGGAACACAAGGGAAGGGAAAGGTCAAAGTGACATACTTGCTGGGTCTGCCTGGAACCAAAACCATTCTTCTCCACAGACAAGGTCTCTTGGCTTCCTCTTGAAATTAAGGCTCATCTTCAATGCTGGTCAGGGAGCTCTGATCTGGCCCCTCTAAAGATATAATTCCATCTCTCATGACCAGACATCATTAAACATTCTTGTGTAAACAGCAAGGGGTACGGGTCTTCTCAGATTCTTCTAAGAGCCTCTACTAGCTCTAGGACTCACTGAGAAAAAGATTTCACCATATTTAATATCTATAGGCCTTAACAAATCAACGGCACAAAAATCATCTCTCCCTATTAGGAACATTTAGCCACTTCAATACATTCCAGATGACCCTCCTCAACTATGTACTGTTGTTGACCAAAGCAACCTATTCAGGCTAAGTCCTGACAGAACCACTGTGACTGCCCACCTTGGTTTGATGACCTCTCAGGTTATCTCCAGTGATCTCCCAAGTATTAAGAAATTCTGTTTTTAGGAAATCAGTTTTGTTCCATTTAACAACTATCGGAGGTGTTCAAAAGAGCTGAAAATTTCTGGCTCAGATAGCTCCCGTCACCACCAGTGAAATGCCATGTTGGCTGACTGATGAGACTTATTTTTTCTGTTGGTGCTTATATGTGTGCATCTCCTTGTCCTACAAGCATTAAGCCACAGAGAACATATGTAAAGCTGTGGAATTCACTCTGCACTGAACGGACAGAAAGGGATTTATAGCATAACACTGGGCAGTTGGTACCCACATGGTTCTCAAAAGTCTCAACTCTGGAGAAGATGCTACTTGTAGCCTCAAGGAAATATGTATGCCAGATAAGTGTTTATACTAAATAACTAAGGTTATATTTAGGGTTTAAACTAGTTTCTGAACATCCTACAGGGGGTGGGGGGTTGGAGTGAATGAGAACTTAAGCTTTCCAAGGATTAAGGTTCAAATCCTCTGAAATCCGTACAAGGTCAAATAAAATGAGAACTCAGCTCCAGAGTAATAATTCTCACTGGCATCAGCACGAGGCAGTAGTGATTCTCAAGTTTAATATATTACATATAAAAATAAGCTGAAGTTTTAAAGAATGTCATTCTTAAAAAGTTTGAGCTTTCCTAGTCCAACCATGGGCTTTTTGACAATCAAACACACTGGAGCAAAAGCCCATGAAGTACAACAAAGAGGTATACTAAATGACAAAAGAGCTGCTGCAATATGCCACAGGCACTTCGGTTTTTGAGAAAGCACAGAATGTGTAGATTCCCAAGGAAAAAAATAAAACTGCTTCAGAGATTTGTAACAGGAAGAAGTGGTAAGTGACCTGTCTAATAACATTCACTGGTGAATACTACAGCCTTCCCACTTCTTTTGTGGTTTGCGTTATGATTGAGAACAAGGCAAAGACACTGCTTTCTCCAGACGGCTTTTTGTTTTTGAACAAATGCAGGGATGCTATGTGCCTGAATCAGTACTTCGTGGCTGAAAACCCTCCCTCCGGAGACTGCCCATGTCAAAGCGGGTGTAGACCTCACAGCGGACTAACAAAGTATCATCCTTAACGAAGGTTCTTTGTCTTAGGGCTTCCAGGTGCATAAAAGTCACATAGCCAAAACCTTTTGGGTTCCGTGGGATTGTGGGTCTCTGGAAGGCAAGCAGCTCTGGTTTGGCATCCATGATCTCTTCATGGTTTTGCCTTACAGGCGCTTCAGACTGATCAAGAATTGCAAGGCGTATTGTACCCTGGAAGGGCCAAGGCAGGTGGCTGTCATACTCTCCCTGCATTGTGTGGACAAAGAGGGATATATAATTAGCACAGCGCTGAGCAGTTGGTAACTGGAGGTGCAGGCGCATGCACAGTTTGTAGCCAGGTTTGCCCGTGTAGAATCCAGGGCTGTGAATGACAACAGGTTTCTCCTCTTCCTGAGATTTCAAATGCATCCCAAAGTTGCCAATCTTCCAGATGTAGATCCCGTTGCACTGCTGCGCTTCTATTTCAGCAACTTTGTCTTCAAGGGTTCGAATGGTTCGTTTGAGCTCATTTACATACATGCTCTGAGTTTCCATTTTAGCAGTTAGCTCTCGGATTTGATGGTCTTGTCTTACAAGGCGACCCTCTAACTGCTGAATGGTTTCTTGGAAATTATGGACCTCAGGGTGACACGGAGTGGAGACCCGGGACACAGAGGAAGAATCATATGGCGGCATATCACGCTGAGGTACAGGAGCTAAAGCAAGGCTTAAACTCTGAACGGCCTGAGCCAACATTCTCATGTGCGACTGGGTATTCTCTTGTAGGTGGCGTGCCAAGTGATTCCTCTGCATCTAAAAACCAAGCATAAGCCTTAGGCTGGGACTAGATACTGTGAGGACTAGGAAAGGGACCTAGCCAAGCCAAATAAAAGGTTTTTAAGTAATGTCATCACTTCCCTCCATTCCCTACAGCCTTCTGTCTTCATCAAATTCTTGATCCAGTGAGACGATCTTGTCTCTTTATTCACTGAAAAAGTGAGGCTATGTGCTGAATACCTTTCACTCAGATAAATCTCCCTCCCACCTATAAAAGTATCAGTATCTATACCCATCCTTCGCTTCTGACTCAGAGATGACTCTCCGCTTGTCCAACATTAATGCTTCACCTAGGCTCTCAGTGGCACCCACCTTTTCAAGACCTCAGAGGTTTTGCTCAGTTATACCCCTTCTCCTTTATCTTCATTCCCTCCCCTTAACCCTTCCCCTCAGAATATATTACCGCTTTCCTATCGAAAAAAAGGTACATCTCTCTAGTGATCTCATGTCTCTCTTTAGCTAATACCATTTTCTCTCTCTTCCTTTTACAACCGAGAGTGAGACTCCATCTGCGCTGTTTCCAATCTGTTTTCCAAAGTATCTTTCTTGTCTCCACACCTTCTCATGTCATCAAGAACATCTTTGTATGAGAAAGTATAACTTTCATTATAAAAGTAATTCATGTATATTATCGAAAAACAGAAAATACAGATGACTGAAAAGAAAATGAGTTACTTATGATCTCACCTAACTACCATTAACATTTTTTTAAAAAGATTTTATTTATTTGAGAGAGAGAGACAAAGATAGTGGGAGAGAGCGGGGAGGAGACGGAGAAGCAGACTCCCTGCGGAACAGGGAGCCTGACTTGGGGCACGATCCCAGCACCCCAGGATCATGACCTGAGCTGAAGGCAGACACTTATCCAACTGAGCCACCCAGGCGCCCCCCATTAACATTTTGATACATTTCCTTCAAGTCTTTTTCTCTATGCAGACAATACAGAATCTTCCCATAAAATGTAATCATAGTATATACCATTTCTTCACTTTATTCTTAAAATTCGTAATTGCATGCTTATTGTAAAAAAAGTCAGGTTAAAAAGCATAATGGAAAAGCAAAAGTATAGCTGGACTCTCCAGAAAGAATGACTTGTCATTAATAACCATCGATCTCTGGGGTGCCTGGACAGTGCAGTCAGTTAAGTGGCTGACTCTTGGTTTCAGCTCAGGTCATGTTCTCAGGGTTGTGAGATTAAGCCCCACGGTTGGGGCGGGCTCTGTGCTCAGTGGGGAGTCTGCTTAAGACTCACTCTCTCTTTGCCCCTTCCCCTGTGTGCACGTGTTCTTTCTCTCTCAAATAAATCAATCTTTAAAAAAATAACCATCAATCTCAAATATGTGACACAACTGATCACTAGTCTTGAAACTAATTTTGGAGAGCGTAGCAACACCACCTTTTCCTTGCCTGATTCACCAATTTCTAATACACTCTGTTCATGACTTCTTTGATGGTCTGCTTCTCCTTCCTGTACACACTCTATCGACCTTCCATTATCATCACAAACCACTTCCCCAAATCAATATTCCGAGTCCCAATTTCTCTTTGGAGCTCAAAACTTATACACTGCATGTCAGCCATATCCCCTTCCACTGGTATTCTCAACTCTACTACAGAACAGAATTTTCTTTGATATTCAAGAATTAACAAAAGAAGGAAAAAACCCTTACCTTTACATGGCAACCAAAAGTACTGAATGTGCATGGAATTGGGGCTGTTGGACAGTCTAGATCATAGTGATTAGGCATCTGAAAACCAAAACAAAGGTTGAAAAATGGTTCTCCCTGCATATCATCTTCTAGTTTAATGATCACATTTGAAATAAAGATTTACATTTCATCTAAACAATATCAAGTATTGTCTACGGATGCTTTTGCACAATGCAGAGTTGAGAAGTTGCAACAGGAACCATGTAGCCCACAAAGATCAAAATAATATTTATTTCCAAAAGTCACAGAGAAAGGCTAGAGAAACATCTCTTACCATCCCTCCAAATCACTCAAATGTCCAGAAAATGAATGTTTCTATTGCTAGGAACTAACGCCCTCTAGTGGCACTTTAGAGAAAAAGCACCTTCTGATGGCAACTAAAACTGCAAACTCAAGACTCGCTGTGGTCCAGGCCATTTAACAGCAACCAGTTAACTGCATACACTGAAACCACTGGTTGCGGCCAGTATTTCCCTCATGACCGGCTCTCATAATCTTACTTTCTTTTAACCAGGGCATGTTTTGGTTACCATGGGGAGATGCAGATGTCAGAAGGTATTTTCAGCACATTAATAAAAGTTCTAAAGAAAGTCTCAGCCTTCGATTTGGGGATTCTAAACACATTCTTTAAGGTGAAATCCATTATGCAGAATCATGTTCTTTGAAAGTGGTGCCAAATTCCCTTTAGAAATTTAGTATGGCTATATTCATAGATACTTCAAGCAGAAATGACTATAGAAACTACTTAGTCCAATTCTTCATTTTGCATCATCTGGAACAGCAGTCTGCAGAATTTTTTGTAAAGGGACAGACAGAAAGTTTTTTCAGCTTTGTAGGCCTTATGGTCTCTGTCCCAAGTAGTCAACTCTTACTATTGTGGTACACTAGCCATGTACAACACACAGACATGTGGGCATGGCTGTGTTCCAATAAAATGTATTTACAAAAACAAGCAGTGGGCCAGATTGGCTGGTGGGCTGGTCTGCTGATTCCTGATGTAGAATGTCAGCTTTCTTGTCAGAGATCAGTGGGCAAGTTAGGGGCACAGCCAAAATCAAAACCTAGGTTTTCTCTTAACCTAGAGTTTTTTCCTACATTATTTTATTTTTGCTGGGTTTAATATGTGATACACGGTTTCCTTCAAATATTAAAACAGAGCAAAAAAGAAAACTAAGGAGGTGAGACTTCAAAAGCAAAAAGAAGTTTAACACCTTCGAATTAAGGCTTTGTTGGGGGAAAAAAACCTAAAAGACTTTGTTAAAAGACAAATGGAAAAGTTCAGTTAAGTGACGGGTTTTGCTTGCTGCTACTTATTAAGGTAATCCATTATGATCTTTGGGTTTGCAGACTTCATGGGTGTATAAATATTTAGTGACTAATATTCATATTTTGTGGGTAAACTCCCCAAATGTCAAAAGATAGCAATCAGATGGAATTTTCCTTTCTCTATTAATACAAATGTACAGTTTTCTATTATTACTACTTTTGATGATGCCCATTAGCAGGCTATGGCACGAATGAACAGAGGCACTACAGATCTTGGAAAGCTCAAAATGTCCCACTGTCTCAGGGGCAACAGCTACAGACAATGCTCTGCTACTGAAGAGACTTGCTTTCATCTGTTTCATAGTTCTCTCACTTTCAGCCGGTCTCCGGACATCTAAGAACCCTGTTCCACAGTGTGCAAATATGTATTTCTCGAAGTTTTTCTTTCTTTAAATGGAGATTTTTTTGATTATTTTTATCTTTAAATGACCCGGGTTTGGTAGGAATCTTTATGAATATACACAAACATGGGTATTATGTTAATGACTCAGAAATTTTAAGTACTTAGAGGGGGCTGAATATTTTGTTCTTTCTGAAAGTACTATAATAATTTACATGAAAGCTTTTCAGTTTTAATACTTCTTCAACCTGTATTCATTTTGCCTTATTGATTTAAATTTCCCATTAAAAACCTAACTCGTTTCTTTAATCTATTAATGGAAATATTAACTTACAAAAGGGAATCATTATACCTGTTCTCTGATGAGCATAGTATTGCAGTATTCACAGATGACATTTGCCAAAGGACAGTTCTGGTCATGGATCTAAATTTTATTAGAAAAATATTAAAAAAGCATGAGAAAATCTGAAAAAGTAATAATCTATTTTTATAAAAATTCACTATAAAAAAATTAAAGACCTCAATTTGTGCAAAACAAAAATGTAAAAATAATGTACAAAGGTTATTTTCTCTCCAAAGGGAGCCAATATAATTCTCCAAAGGCCCTCTTCCAAAAATTTCCAGCAATAGCTTGACGACTTAACTAAAACTCTTACCAGGAAGATTAAAAGAAGTATTATTAGAGCAAGAAGCTTTGGTGCCCAGGTTCTCATATGCCCCAGGAAAGTGAGCTTTGTGTTCCAGAATACAATGAACTTATTAGTTTAGTTGATATGCTGAGAAGTAATTAAGCTTCCAGGTTAAGTCCAGTAACTTACTGAAGTTTAGGAAGACATCAATTTGCTCTAATTATGCCTCAGACTTCTCTACATGTTTAGCAAGTTAGCAGACTTCTTTAATATTTCATCAACTTAATGAATATGCTTGACCTTCTAAGAAAGTAGGAAAAAATTACCAAAATGAATTTATAAGAAAGTTTAAAGAAGTATCTTCACAGCAATAAAAAACATAAATTATACATAGGTTATTTTAGTAAAGAGGACACAGGATGGGGATCCTGGACTAGATCTTAGTGCTAGCTTTGCCACTGACTATATTAATGTAAAATTACTTAACCTCTCCACATCTGTTTCTGAATGGAAAACTGCTCTATCACTATGATGCTGTCAAGCACAATGACACTTCTTTTTAAAGATAAACGTTTTAATTGAAGTATAACATATGCACAGAAAAGTGAATTCATTACATGGGTGTAGCTCAATAAATTATCATCAAAGGAACACATTTTGTGGTTTTTAATTTATTCTCCATAAAGGTTTTAACTACCCATTCTCTTTTTCAAAGAGAAAAGTGTAAGTCTGATAAAGTAATCATTTGTTTCTAATCCAAAATTGGTCATTAAAATATCACATAGAAAAGGAGATCAGCATATGTCTTTCCTAGAAGCTTGTGTTACTCGCAGATCTACTATAGTGGTTAAGTAGTATAAACAATGTTTTCTAAGAAAGATATACAAGTATAAACTCTATGCTTACTTACTAAATAGTTTATTGACCCCTGTTTCTTAAAAGTCAATCTTCCCACCACTGCTAATATAGACTCAGATTTGGAGTAACATCCTCTCCTATACCCTCAAATATACATTAAAACTTTTTTTTTTTAAGATTTTATTTGAGAGAGAGAGAATGAGAGACAGAGAACGTGAGAGCAAGGAAGGTCAGAGGGAGAAGCAGACTCTCCGCCGAGCAGGGAGCCCGATGTGGGACTCGAACCCGGGACTCCAGGATCATGAGCTAAGCTGAAGGCAGTCGCTTAACCAACTGAGCCACCCAGGCGCCCCTGAAACTTTTTTTTTTTTTAAAGAAGTAGTGAAATTAACAAATCCAAGTAAGTACATGCCTCTTTATCTTCAAATGCCATCAACGCAGCACAGTTCACGCAAGAAACCTGTCTCCTCGGGCACTCCTTAAGAATGTGAATATTAAGTAGGCATTTTTGGAAGGGACGCTGGCACTGGGGACAATTCATGAGAGCAAACTCACAATGTGCTTGGTGATCCTGTAATGAGGAAAATGTAATTGATCAGTATTTGCCAATCCCTATGAAATTTCCTAAGAAATAATCTACAAATGTACTGTTCCCTTTTATAGAACTGGCTACTGAACCTGCTTTGTCTAGCACACACCATATGAAGGTCTTACTGAATTTATTTTTTATTTATTTTAGAGATAGTGAGCGAGTGGGAGGAGCAGAGGGAGAGGGACAAGCATATTTCGCACTGAGTGCAGAGCCTGACGTGGGGCTCAGTCCCACGACCCTGAGATCATGACCTGCGCCGGATGCTTAACAGACTAAGCCACCCAGGTGCCCCGGGCCTTACTGAATTTAAATAGTGGTTGTGAATTACAAGTTTATACAAAGAATGTGAATTCTCAAGTTAATGTATCCAATTAGGGAAAGATGGCAGATTTTCTGATTATCAATTTAGTCTCAAAAGGACCATTCCTTCAAAAGGAGCTAAGTAAAGGTGGGCATGCTGCAAATACATTTTATTTTTTAAAGATTTAATTGGCTTCCCATTGTTAAACCAGATATTTTTTAAGATTTTATTTGAGAGAGAGAGAGAGAGAGAGAGAGCAAGCACAAGCAGGGGGAGTGGCAGAGGGAGAGGGAGAAGCAGGCTCCCCACTGAGCAGGGAGCCTGACATGGGGCTCAATCCCAGGATCCTGGGATCATGACCTGAGCCGAAGGCAGACACTTAACAAACTGAGCCACCCAGGTGCCCCGCAAATACATTTTAAACACTTAATTTCAAATACAACATAAGCAGTATTTAATTCTTGTAAAACAACCAAGCTAAGAATTGTTTTTATTTAATTTAAAAGCAAATGCTTTTAGCTGATTACTTCAGCTAATCTCAAGCTGGAGGAGGACTCCATTTAGCTCTTAATAAAATGTACAATTTAGAAAAACAAAGTATGGTTAGGGTACTAAGATGACGGATGACTAGACAGAGTTTGCTGCTTATTTCAAAACGAGAAAAACAAAATTAAGAGATTAACATGTGACACTTATATTTGAAATGCTCCTCAGTTTTTTTTTTTTTAAAGATTTTATTTATTTATTTGACAGAGACATAGCGAGAGAGGGAACACAAGCAAGGGAAGAGGGAGAGGGAGAAGCAGGCTTCCCGCCGAGCAGGGAGCCCGATGCGGGGCTGGATCCAGGACCCTGGGACCATGTCCTGAGCCGAAGACAGATGCTTAACGACTGAGCCACCCAGGCGCCCCACAATGCTCCTCAGTTTTATTGCAGATAATGTTCACCTAAAAAATTTGTAGTAGAATACAGATTTCTTTCTTATTATCACTGGGCAAAGCCAGAGTATATGGACTAGAAGTATATAGTTTCTACTCAAATTTATATTCAATTATGAAAGAATTGGTATTAATTCAGCAATAATTTATTAACCAATTATTATATGCTAGGCACAGAGGGGACACAGCAAAGTGTGTATCCTCTAGGAATTGCCTTGCATATATGCTAACAGCTAGAAAATAATTTTAATACCTCAAGATGCCTCAGTTCCATCTTGTGCAAACAACCTTCATTTGGACACTTCACCATCAAAGAAAGAATCTCTCGTTTTGCAAAATTGTCAGGAAATAGTTGATTTTCCAGCAATATTTCATTGTCAACTGGACATTTGTGACCAGCATCCCTAAAAGAAACAAGATACATACACTTAGATTTAAACAAATGTTATCGTTAGAACACACAAATCTTTTAGTCACCGCATATAAATTCTCCATTGATTATTTCCTATGGAAAGTAATTTAACAGCATATCACCAAAATAAACTGTTCTTTTGTAGACAGTTTAACAAGCATTCTTTACTGAAATGAATACAACTAGCACCATTTGGTTACCTATCAAAAACTATGTTGCATTTTAGATTTGGGGATAGATTTAAAGCAAAAAATGAGAAAAATTGAGTAAAATCGTATTTTGATTGGCATGAAGTGAAATGAAAGTTAAGGCTGGGAATTGTGGCAGTCTGGCAGGCCTCTGTTCTGTGAGCAGCTGTACAGTGTCCTAGTGAGATGGAACTAGATGGGCTGCTCGTGTGCCAACAACATCTAGTTGTAGTGTGCTGCTTGGTCATAAGGAAAAATTAAACCAATTAGCAGTAACCCTACGAGGTCACATTTTTAGGTTTACTCTGAACAGTCATTACAATACTCTGGCTCACAGGCAACAAAGGTTTCCTTTATGTTTAAGGTTCAGTGTAGTAGGGAGTAGAGCACCTCTATGTCCTGATTCCCAGTGGTTTATTCCATCTTATGATGGAAAAACCATCCCTAGGAAGCTTGGGTGTCTGTCACCCCCCTTTAAGTTTTTGGGATGTCTCAATCTTCACTGACAAAATATGGCAGGTCAGGTAGGCTAGTCAATCACTCAAATATTTGTTGAGCACTTCCTATGTGTAAACCAACAGCGCTAATTGCTGCTGCAGGTAAATAGCTGCTGAAAAATGGGGTCTGCTGTCAAAGGTCTTAGAACTAATAAAGGTGAGAGACATGGTCTTTATTGAGGCCTCTCTCAGAATGCATGTTATTACTACATTGTCAAAAACTTTCTGAGAAGCATAGAAATAGATGCCCAAAATCTAAGTGATGGATGACTAAGAGAAAATAAGAACAACCTTACAGAGTAAACTGGAAACCACTGTCCACAGCATTAGCAATCACTCCAAAAGAAAATGGAATTGAACTGAGATAGATTTTGATTCCTTGAATGACTATAAGAGATGAAAAATTCCAGAGCTGTTCCTTTAACAACTTCAGAGTTAAACCTAAATGGTCATTTCTAACTTAGAGGGAGACAGGGAAAAAAAAAAAGCTCAGACTTCCTTTTGTGGGTTTTACTTCCTTTTCAGAACATGTCCTACTTGCATGAACTCTGCTATTAAAAAACTGCTAAAGATTAGCTACCTTCCTGGGATGTGTGACCACTTGGTAAAATACTATATATTTGTACCCACAGGAAAACCAACAACCCACTTTCACTGCCTACATAATGATATAAACAAACATCACTATAAAAAAAATACTTGAGCCTTTAACATCATTCTCATGTACATTCTAAACCAGTGGTCTCAACCAGGGCAATTCTGTCCCCCATGGGACATTTGGCAATGTCTGGAGACCACTCTGGGAGTTGGGGGTGGGGGGTACGACAGCATCCATGAACAGAGGTCAGGGATGCTGCTAATCATCCTACAATAATTTCCCACAACAAAAAATTATCTGGGCCAAAATGCCACGTGAGGAGGGTGAGAAAATCTACCTTCAACAGATCTTACCAATTCAGCAGTGGGTAACACAGTTTTTTCAAGAATTGACACAAGTCACATGTTCCCTTGTTACTTAAATCAAGCCAAGTCCCAAGTGTGGATGTAGTTACCTTAAACTCAAGTTTTATGTTAAAGTTAATTTAAAAGTTCAAAGAGAAAAACTTGTAAGACTAGTGAATAGCCAACTTAACCTATTTAAGAATGATTTTACTGAGGAACATAAAATCCTCCCCCACCTTCTTCCGTTATTTTTGTTCAGTATAGAACCCTTTAGTCACCTAAAAAGACTCCCATCTACTTCTGAATTATAGTAAAATGTATCTATTTCTTAGGAGATGATTTTGAATCACATGTGGAAATCCCATCTACCTTCATTTGGTTAAAGAAACCATGATTTACTGAGCACCAACTGTTTGTCAGGCACTGCTCTTGGCACTTAGGAAATAGTGGCACTCAAGAAATAAAAGAGATGTCAACGTCTGCTCTCAAGGAGCTAATCTCCCAGTTAAACAAGCAGACGATAAAGAAATTATCTGGTATTTCAGAAGATGAAAAGTGCTAAGGAAGAAAGAAAAGTAGGTTAAGGGAGACTGAGAGAGTGGGGGGAGGTAGGTAGTCATCCTGTGGTATAAATAGGGTGGCCCGGTTACCTATGAGAAAGTGAGATGTGAGCCACACTGGGGGAAGGAAAGAGTATTAGCGAAGCAATTAGCTGAAGTAAGAGTGCTCCAAGCAGAGAGAGCAGTTAAAGCCAACTCCCCAGGGCCCAAGAGCATGCTTGACATGTTCAAGAAACAGCAGAATGAACCGGTGGAAGGAAGGGGAGTGTAGTAGAAAGGCGGTCAGAAAACAGATTATGAGCCTATTATACAGGGCTTTACAAGGACTTTGGCTTGTATTCTCAGATGACCTGCTGCAGTGTTCTGAGCAGTGATATCATATTACTTATTTTACCAGGTTGTACTGAAAACAGTCTGGAAGAAGGCAAGGGTAGAAGCAGGAGGCCTATGAGGGCTGATGGTGAATCAGATGGCAGTAGCAAGTGGAGGCAGTGAGAAGGAATTTGATTTTGGGTATATTAGGAAGGTAGAGCCGTCAACTATTACTTCCTTTAAAAATACTGGCTATTTTACAGTTGTCCATAGACACCAGGTTTAAGAGAATTTAACACTGCTAAAATAAGAATAACTGATCACTTAAAAGTCAGCATTCTTTGTATGGCTGAGATTATCAGATTCCAACAGCATCATCATTTAAGGTACATTTTTAAAAATTTTAAGTAATCTCTATACCCAACATGGGCTCAAACCCACAACCCTGAGATCAAGAGTTGCACACGCCTCCTGAATGAACAAGCCAGGTACCCCTAAGGCACATTTATCCTGTATTATTTTCTTAAAGCATAGAGATTCACCCCTTAGTCTGCAACAGAACTACTTTAAGTAGAAACAGCTAGTTTACCTAGTTATTTATCTAAGGGACAGGAGGGGACAGGAGAGTAGTTACCTTTCACACCACAACAGAAGCGAATAAGAATCTAAATTTCTCAATTTTTTGTCCAGTGTGCTTTTCCCTAAGTAACTTTTTACGTATAAGACTATTCTCAGGAGGTGCTCTGTGTAATAATGTTCTCTGTATTTGGTTCTGTTGCTGGATACAGTTCTTATGCTCATGTACCTTAATTTTTTTTTTTTCCAAGAGTTATTTTTTATTTGAGAGAGAGAGAGAGAGAGAATACATGCAAGCGGGGCGGGGGGAGAGGCAGAGAGAGTCTTAAGCAGACTCTGAGCTGAGTGCAGACCCTGATTCGGGGCTCGACCTCATGACCCTGAGATCACCACCTGAGCTGAAACCGAGTCGGATGGTCAACTGAATGGGCCACCCAGGCACCCTGCTCACGTACCTTATTGATTTGATGATGCAAGCTTTGCAGAACCTGTGGCCACATGGTGTTTGCACTGCTTCCCTTAACGCCATCAAGCAGATGGGGCATTCATACTTGCTTTCCAGGGGTGGGTCAAACTCCACATCATATCCCTGGATCTCTTCCATAAAGGAGCTGGACAGGTTCCCCGGGCCGGCGGTTCCACCCACACTGTCATCTTTTGCTGCAGTGCTACACAGGCCGGCCATAGCGCCACAGCAGTCACCCTCAGACTGGCCGGATCCACAGCTGTTTTCACAGTTTAGCAGACTCATAGTAACGTGATTATCAACTGCTCTGTAGAAACAATGAGCAAAAATGCCTTCACACACATGTACACACACACACAGACGTCATAGCTTATCTATGCAAGTCCTTATTTAGTTGATATATGCTAGCCATGTTAATAACATTATTTACAGAAAACGTTTAAAGTTCTTTGGGCTTTGCTTCATGGCTACGATTTTTGAGTTGTGGAGTTTATGACCTAGGAGAAAGGGAGAATATAAAATTAAAAGAAGAAAAGCACCTCAACTGTAACAGTTATATCTTAATTATCTACTTATATGTCTGTTTCCTGTGACTGAAGTCAAGAATTTTCATATCTTCAGTACTGAGCACAAGATCTTTCATATAACAGGTGCTCATTAAGCATCTGCTGAAGAAGTGAATTATGCTACCGAAGTTCCTTCAGTGCCATAAGGTGAAGAGCACAGTATGACCAGCAAGCAGTGCAAGGAAGAGCGATGCACAAGGAAGCAGGTGATCACGTGCAACACTAGATGTGTGATTTGGGGCAACCTAACAATTTGGCTCTTGGTTTCTTCTAGAATTTGAAATTCTACAAGTACTTCTAAATGTTCAGTGTGGGGACTTCTATTATGTAGAAAGAATGGAATTGAAAATATGTATGTGTATGTCCTTTTGCCTTCAGTCAGGTCAAGTGACTATGTCTCACTATTAATGACTGGAAAAACACGTGAGGTTTCATTGGCCTACGGAAAACTATTGCTTTCATGGGTAGGTGGGATGCTTTCAAATTCTAAACCATTATAGTATTTATGAATTAGAAGCTAATGTCTAAAAACAATTCACAGCCTATGTAACCAAGTCTCTGTTGCAGATAATTACACCTGAGGAAAATTCCTAATACATGCCAGATATAGTTCTAGAAACAGAATGTAAGCCGCTAGTCAATATGGTAGACATTTATCCCCCTGCCTGTCTCATTTTCATATGAAAATCCTGGTTGCCACCAGGCCAAATGGCAGATTAAGACAGTAATCCTGTATCTTTTACTTCCCTACCTTCTTCTTTTACAAACACCTTCTTCTTCTCAAAAAGATCTACAAAGGAAGAGGCACTGTTTTGGCTGGATAGACAGTGCGTGAAGCTTAAGTGCTGAAATTTGATGATAGCGGTTTATTTCTTTTCTCCATTATTTGGTGTAGGACCTGGACGAGTTAGGTAACCTTCTATCCTTCAGTTTCCTCATGTATAAATAGAGATAATCAGAATTACTGAGGATTAAATGTGTTAATATGTGCAAAGCACTTAGAACTGCCTCTGGAAGAATGAGTTATTATTATGTGCAGCTCCTTGTAGTAAATTAATTGAACAATTTCACTGTCCCCATTTTATCAGAGGGGAAACTATGAAGCATAAAAGGGTTAAGTAACTTGCTGGAAATCATAGGCAAAACCTGAAGTGTTCCCCAAGGTTGATACAAAGTAACCACTGACCAATTCCCTATCATTTAAAAAAATTATAATATACTCAATCACTCTGAAGAATAAACAGTCACAGCCTTCTCACTATGTAAGCTGCTTTATAACAATATCCCCTGAGCCTCATTCCATGTTTTGGTTCAACTGCTCCTGGTTTGCGAAGAGTTTTTTTGGTGTGTACGATAAAGTTTTACTAACTACTACTTCAGTGATTCACTGGCTTTTTACTTCTATTATTTTTGAACTTTGACAAAGCACAGCTTTAATTAAATATTGTGGGATGTAGCCGCTGATGACTTATTTAGACTGCAAGATGAATAAATATTGTCATAAATCATGGCTTGTCATATATCATGGCTTAAATCTAAATATTAGTATCTGGGTCAAAGAAAGAATACATCGTTAAATATCTTAGGGAAGGGGGGAGTATAGTGATGCACAAAAATGTGCTCCTCTAAGATCAACAGATGCTAATGAGAAAAAGGTTCTAAGCAAAAGAAATCAACAAGGTATGTCTCCAATCGGGTCAATTTTAAGTCAACGGAAAATTCATTCATAGCAAAACAGAATTCCTATAAGTAAAACGATATAAAACAAAATACTGAGAAAGAACCTTTATTCTTCTACTAGCTTTAGAAACAACTATTTACAACTCTTTAAAATCTATTCCTGAAATGCAAAGACTTGTAAATGTGCTGCAATGGCCAAGAAGTGCTGCAAAATAGTCAACTGTTAGATCTTAATTTTGAATACAAATTCAAGAGGCATTCCCATTCCTAGGCACTATTTGTTTTCCTCCTGGAGGCAAGGATTTGAACAACTTCTTTTAAAATTGCAGCCAAAATTGTATCAGCATCACATATCCCAACTTAGCACAAAAAAGGTCTGGCCTTTACAATTCTGAAATACTGAGAAGTATATAGAACATGCAGGTTGAAACTCTGCTCATCACATGGCCAACAAGTGCCTGAATGAAACACATTCCTTCCTTGAGTCACAAAAAAGCCACACTGTCCTTAGCCCACCCCAACCTCAAAATCAGAAAAACCCCTTCTATCTTCCCAAGTAATCACAGAGGAGTGGATAATATGGCAGTAGTTGGGTTCACAAGGCCAACACTTAGATATTCTTTACAAGTTTTTCTCGTTTCTACCCCTGTGTAGCAAGACATTAGTAACCTGTTCTCCCGAGAAACAGAGAAACACGCAAATACTATACATTTAAGCTGCTAATACTTTAGGTGCTTTCTGTTCACATTCAAGACAGTCCTAAACTCTCAACTGGAGTTCCCCTAAGGCCAAATACTAGGAACAGCTTTATCAACCCAGCGTCTGGAACAATCTCTACAACTACCGAATGCAGGGGCGGGGAAGGAAACATTCATGTCATCTGAACTTTTTTTTTTTAATTGCTGCCTGGGACCTCTATCGAGTTCAAAAGGGAACCCCAAAATAGCTTTCCCATGACAGTGACAGAGAGCGATGGGAATTTAAAAGGTCTGGCTTTTGTTTCGTTTTTCCTTTTTTAAAAGGCTGGTAACAGCTCCGAGGGACGGGAAAATCCAGGAGGCAATTTCCTTTTCTGGAAAGGGGAATACGCGGGGTGAAGGGAGGTAGGGCTAAGAAAAGGGGCGCGGGATTGCCGCTGGCGGACGGAGTGAGGGGAAGGGAGGAGGTGCCTGCAGGCAGGGGGAGCAGAGGTGAAGGGAGAGGGGGCGGCGTCCCCAGCCTCTGGGAAGCGAGGAGACAGCGGGCGGCCTCCCCAGCCTCTGGGAAGCGAGGAGACAGGAGGCGGCGACCCCAACCTGTGAGGAACCGGAGAGAAGGGGGCGGCGTTCCCAACCTCGGGGATGAGGCCGCGGCCACTGGGAGGAGACGTCCGAAGACTCACCGCTCTCGTCCGCTGGGCCGCCGACACCAGCCGGCAGCACGACTCGGCTCCGCCAAGGCTCCTCACTCCGAGTTGAGGCGGCCTGGACGCCAATCTGCCGACCCGAAGGCCGCTTCAGCTGCGACCCCGGGCAGCCCGGAGCCCGAGCCCCAGCCGCGGACGCCCCTACTTCCGCCTTCTCTGCTCTCCTTGGGCAGCGAGGGGCGGGAATCGGACGGGGGCGGAGACCGAGCGGCGGAGCCGGGCCCGGGTGCCCCCTGGCGGCGGTCCTCCACGGGCCCGCAGGCTTCGGCGCAGGCGCGGGGCAGGTCCCGCTGTCAAACCTGCGCACGCCGTCTGGGCTTCCTTTTCCGCTCGGAGAGATACCCGACCTGGGAATTCCTGACCCCGCAGTCCTGAACTGGTGTATGTGGGTGTGGGTGGGTGTGTGGTGCGTTTTTATAGCTTCCCTCTCCAAGCAGGAAAAAACCCCAAATGGGTTAGATCACTTGACCTTCGGGAATTCTTAAATCCCTCCCCAACTCCACCCTCCTTGCCAAGTTTCCACAGTACTTAGAACCCTGTTATCACCTGGTCCTTCTCCTTCGACCAGTCCGAGGGAGTCAAGCCCATATATTAAGAATTTCTTGGAATCCGCTGCCAATGACACCACCATCCTCTTTTCTGTCACTGTCATGAGAAAGCTATTTTGCATTCCCTGTTTAACTGGAGGCAAACCAAAGGAATGTAACAGGCACTTTGCAGGAGATACACAAAAGATTTTCATCCACCTCTGCAAAGGCGGTTCATGTTCACCTCTTATAGGGTAAAGGTTACACAGTTTTAAAATAACTTTTAAGGAACATATGAGAGGGAAAAAAAGAAGGCTACTAAGGTAGAGAGTGGTAAGAGATGGAAGCAGAAGGGCAGGCAAGGGCTAGATCATGCAGGGTCTTGTAAGGCATGCAAAAGAGGTTTATAAGGAGGGAAGAGGTGTGATGTTATGCATGGGAATCCCTCTGGTGGCCGTGTGAAGAATAAGGACAAGGGTGGAAGCAAGGGCAAAGGGGAGGAGAAGATTGCAGTGCTCCAGGAAAGACAGTGACTTGAACTGGTGGGTAGCAGTGGATGTGGTTAGAAGTGGGCAGGTTCTGGATGCATTTTGGAGGGAGAGCCCCCCTGTCATAGGTCTTGCTGATTGGGGGTGAGCTGGTGATAACAAGGGACTGTGATATATTTTTTTTAAGATTTTATTTATTTGAGAGAGAGAGAGAGAGAGCATGAGTGGGGTGGGAGGGGCAGAGGGAGAAGCAGGCTCCCCGCTGAGTAGGAACCCCCCCCCCCAGGATCATGACCTGAGCCAAAGGCAGACACTTAACTGACTGATCCACCAGGTGCCCCAGGACTCTGATATTTTTGATGAGCAACTGAGTGGATGGAGAAGATTGAGAAAGGACCAGGTTGGGAGAGAAAAGAATCAGGAGTTCTATGTTCCAACCTGCCAAGACTTGAATTGCTTACTAGTATACAGTTAGAGACCTTTAGTTAGCTGTGGAAGTAAGGCCTCTGACGCTTAAGGGAGAGATCAGACCTGGAGTTGTAAATTTGTGAACAACTGCCATATAAACAATGTTTAGAATCACCTGAATGATATCACCTAGTGAGACTGTGTTTAGGGAAGAGACGCAATCTGGTATCTGCAGTGTGGACAAAAGCATCTTAGAGTCAGAATCTTTCTCATGCCAGAAGCAGGAAGAACAAGAAAAAAGATATGCTAATCTTTGATAAAATTATAGATCAAGAAAGAATGAGTCAATCAGAAGAGGAATTAGATGTGATGGAACCTAGGAAAAGGTCAGAGATCCAGTATGGCATTTCCCATGTACCTTCTGTTTTGGGGAGGAGGTGCCCTGGATCAAACTCTCCCTCTAGCTGTCTATTTTCAAAGGTAGGAGTTTTGGAAATAGCCTGATGTTATTACTCTTTGAGCTGTAGAAGCAATTGCCAACAGGGGCCAAACAAAGCCAAAGGAGCACACGAAGGAATGTTTTCCAATAGAAGATTCTGGCCTTGGAATATATATTGAGTGTAATAAGTTTCAGGACAGCCCCTCTCATTTCTCCCTCCCTGCCCCCACCCCCCATTCCAAGACCAGAGCAGGGATGGGAGTAGATAACGAGGAGTGAAGGTGGGCAGTAGGGGGAGCTCAGAGGGAAGGTGAGTGAGGTGTGTGGACAGGTAGATGTGTACAGGAAGGCTCCGGGGGTGGGGGGGAACTTCAGACAGTAATAATAGGCTTTGGGGCTATGCACTTGGTTCAGTCTCCTGTCCAGGTTGAGAGCAGACTCTGAGCCACTGAGACAGAAGTTTAGTTTTTTTTTTTTAAATGCCATTTCCTTTTATTTTTTTAAAGATTTTTATTTATTTATTCATGAGAGACAGAGAGAGAGAGAGAGGCAGAGGGAGAAGCAGGCTCCCAAGGAGCAGGGACCCCGATGTGGGACTCGATCCCAGGACTCTGGGATAATGACCTGAGGTGAAGGCAGATGCTTAACCATCTGAGCCACCCAGGTGCCCAGAAGTTTAGTTTTGAATCTGCTTTGCAGTTTATAGAAGCTCCTAAAATTGTCTATGGCAGGCGGGTCTGGCTGACTCATTCGGAGGAGTGTGTGACTATTGATCTTGGGGTCTGGGGTTCAAGCCCCGCGTTGGGTGTAGAGATTACTAAGAAAAAAAAAATAAACTTTAAATAAATTGTCTAGGGCAATGAGTTTTCTTTGGTAAAGCCTGTTTCCTAGCAAGAACTTAAAAATAACTTGCCTTTCTCTACCCTCTTTCCAAATCCCAGTCAAGAACCTAGACTTTTTGTGGGTACCCTCATTTTTCCTGCCCCTGGAGAAGGGAGGGGAATCTCTCTTTTTTTTTTTTCTTCCTTTGGGAGAATGGGAGATGGTGGGTAGATGTCCAGTGCATTGTGACTAGTTTATTTCTTGTTCACTGCTCATCAAGCAATGTTGAGATGATAAGTTTGACCCAATTTACTGCTTTCCTTGAGGGAAAGAATGTACCAGCCAGAGGAGGTGAGTATCTGATGTATTTGTGAGTTGTACTTTTAATGTAAATGATTGCTTTTGTCTGATGTGTCTATTTGTTTCCCATGAGCTGCGTTAATGTAGAGGCACACTGGGTGGGAAAAATCAGTTTTTGAACTTACAGAGCTAAGGGTCAGGATAATTAATCAGGGTAAATAACACCCTATGACGTCTCTTGGTACATTCTATCTGGATACATTTTTAAAAATTACTATCAAGAAAAATTATCCAAAACTTGAAAGAAAGCAAAACGAAGGCTAGTATCCTTTCAGTGTCATTTTTAAACACGTTTGCCTAATAATTCTTTAATTATTGATGTCTGAGAATTCACCTATATTTGATTTCACTGTTTATTATTTGATTAGAAACCAGACACTGACGTTACATAGTAACTTACAGATTTCTGTCCAGTTAAAAAATACAAACCCAGAGGTTAATGCACAATATGATATTAACCAATTATGTATCTAGGAACCCCATAAATTCATTTCAGCATTCCTTTGACCGACCGTATAAAATCTGCTTCTCCAAGTCTCCTTTGAACCAGCTTTGTCATCTTAACGATTCCCTCATTAATCGTTTGAATAAAATCTTAGACCTGTGTTCATTCTATATTTATCTGGTAGCCTTTTGTGTCATTTTTTGAAAATTCTACTTTAACATGACATTCCTACTCGACTCTGCTTCTTTTCAATGTTTGCAAATGGAGTAAATTGCTTAGTCAGATTTTTGCATGTTTGATGGTTAACCTTTTGAATGGGATAATGTCAAACCTCTTAGGACATCAGGATGCTTATAGAAAACTTTAATCATGGCACTATAACACAAAATCACAAGTGTATCTATAAGCTTTTGGCTTATCCGTAATTTGGAACACATGGAAGCTTATCATTTAGGAAGTTTCTGAGTTCAAAAGCCTGATTTGTATATGTTCCTATTGGAATCCTAGGTGTGTAGATTCTCCACACCAGCAGAGGAGACCAGAATGTCTGAGACAGAACAGTAGCCAGAATCTGTGGCTTGAGCTTGCTTGGTGGGAAGAAGAGGAAAGCTATTTCCAGTGTTCCCGATTAGAATTTATAATATAATTTTCCCAAAAGGCAATTAAATAAGTAATGATTAGTTTCTTTGAATTGCCCACAATGTAGTTGAAATAATGTCTTTTATGCAACAGAATTATTTTCAGTAATTGTATCTTTTAACTGCAAACATATTTCAGATACAGTATGAGTCTTTTGTGGAGCAGACTGGGGAACTAGTCCCAATTTATAACATTGTTTTGTTTTTTTATAGAAAACATGTATTTGGTTCCAAACAACTAAATAAAAATGCTTTGGGGAGAATATATAGATATAGAATATATAGAATTATAGATGGGAAACAGCCTACAATGAGGTTTATTACAATGATAAAATTAAGCAAATTAAAAGCTGTTTTACTAAAAGGGAATAAAGAGAAAGTGTTTGTGTGCATGTGAGCATGCGTGCATGTGTGTGTGTGTGTTTTGTTAATGCTATCACACCTTTTAGTTTTTTATCACACAAAGTAGGACGTATTCCAGGTTCCTGAAGCCTTTGCCCACTTTTGCCTTTTTCATATGGTGCTATTGTTAATACCTCGTGATTGTTACAAACAAAATAATTTTCAATTTCAAATTAAACTTTCAGCATTTCATCCACCAAAACGTCATATTTCACCCCAATTTCTGCCAAAACAGAGCAGGTTTCTTTCTGGATTTTCTAAGTAGAACATTGAATTAATGAATAATGAGACTGACCACTTCCTTATAACGAAGCAATTGTAGTGTTGAATAACAGCTAATACTCCATTTCTTTCCTGAAAGAGATTCGGCAGGGCATCCAGCATTCTAATAATTATGGTAAATTAATAATAATCTTTGAAGATTTGACATATGCACATTAGAAGATTTCCAAAAATTTTTGAGGGTGGTAGTGATGGTAAGTTTTTCTTAAGGCATTTATTAAAAGTAATTTACATTTTTTGTTTTCTGCATCGGTGAACTAGGGATATAAACAGTCAATGCCAGCAATCAATGAACAAGAGATCATTTTAGCCATGACCAGAGAGGCATGTTTTCTTTTTTTTTT